TGCATTCTCCTGCGTGCTTTTTCAGACTCGTGTGTGTGTGTGTGTGTGTGTGTGTGTGTGTGTGTGTTCTTCCCAGTATCTGCATTTGTGTCTCTGGAAAGCCATGTGTGTGTACTTGTGTCTGAGTGTGTTTTCTGGTCTTTCGGCTTCTCTAATCTGTTTTGGTTCTGTGTGGTCAGCTGGACACAAAGCCAATTACCTTTTAAAGGGCAAATCTGAGCCAAATGAGCCGCACTGAGCTACAGAGGTAACAGACTTAATAAAGCACTCTGTCTGCATCAGCGACTCTCTCACAGGATCACACACAGTCCTGAGTCTTCATTGAGACGCACAGGCGCAGAATAAAAAAACAAAAACAAAACAAAAACAAAAAAAAGAACCCAGCTACATCTCTGGAGAACATGCATGGTCATGTCTGCCTGGAATCTCAGTCACTGCTTGCACACGCAGCAGAATACCAATCAGTCAGAGCTGATATCTGACTAACAACGACCAGGCAAAGAAAAAAAAACCCCAGCGATTATTGACTAACTAACATTTGCATGTTACTGTAGTTTCCAGACAGCTAGAGTGCCCTCTAGCGGCTGTCAGTGTAAAAAAATAACAAATATGTAAATTATCAGTGGTACAGCAGTAGCAGATACTGGTACACAAGTCTAGAGTGCCCTCTAGTGGCTGTCAGTGTGAAAATAACAAAAGTGAAATTATATATATATTATTTTTTATAAGTACGTCGCAAAACCAGCCAAAGGCTGAAAAAAAGTACATCTTATGGTCGATGCTGTATCATGAAATAAATATTGTGATATTTGAGTGTATTGGTATTTTCTCACACCCCTAATTATTATTATTGTTATATTTTTCTTTTTTTTTACACTGTATCAGTTTACGACAGAGGGTTATTTTTGTGCACGAGCTCCATGACTAACATTTAACCTAGTTCAGTGCAGAAGCAGGAAGACGAACACAAAAAGATCACATGCTTTAACAGGAAGAAAGAACTCCTGACAACCTTTAACATAAAAAACAAAACAACAAGTGAACCTGTGTGTCTTCTGTACAAACACATCCTGGGATATTGTTCAAACAAAAGGCAACGGACCATTTGACATGTCCAACATTGCATCAGCAAAGACAAAAAAAAAAAAAAGTTGCAGCAGAGTACTTTATGATTTAGTATGAACCAACAGCAGCAGCGTCAGCAGTGGGACAGGCTGATGTTAAAAGACTCTCTATCTGTGGAATAGAAAGAACAAATATTGACTGACTTCCGGCACCAGTACGTCCTCACCTGAAGGTGTGTTACTTGTCACCGTGTTGTGAAGTGTAGTACATGTAACATTGCACCATTTCCCTCTAATCAGGTCTGGTTTTGCCTGTTGTGAAATATATCCTTGCACGTCACATCAGACTTGGAACACTGACTTTTATAAACAGCGTGGCTGATGGACAGGGCTGAACCATACACAGTAGAAGAACTCACGTGTTCTGTTTCAACAAAGCTGTGAGTCACAGTGCAGGCTGGGAGATGCAGGCTGCTGCACAACTTTGGAGCAGCGGGAGCCTGCAGCAGTTGTTAATGAAAATCACAATCCGCAGCCAAGAAAATAATTGCTTCCAGGAGTCACATGGCAACATTCCTTTGTTTTTGGAGCAGTGACATGTGGGAAAAATGTGAACGCGGCTCAGCGAGATATCACAGTCAGACATTTGGTTCGTCAACTGTTCGTCAGTGTACGGTTGTCGGTGCCACACCGCAAGATGGTGTTTTTGTGACAGGAGCTTGTCTCTCTGTGACCTTATTAACTGACTGACTCAGCTAAGAAATACCAGACTTTAAACAAGTCAAATAAGAAAGTCATGTTTGAGTGGGCCATGCCCTAAAAACCAAACTTCTTTACTCACCCAGGTCAAGGTCGTCACTGGGATCGTGCAGTAGGATTTTCTCCATGCATTTTTCATGTTCCCGTTTGATGATACAGTGCTCGGACTCCGAGGCCACCTGCAGGAGATGCACAGACACAGACAAATATTAATAATATTAATAAGACATTATATACAGGACTTAATGAGTGAGAGCTCTATGGAGTTAAGAACAGACTGAACAACGAACGACTTGTCTTTATCTTACCCTCAGCTCAGTTCTACTGTTAAACCAACTGTGGTAATTTGTCACTCAAACCCCACCATTCTTCCTGTTTGTCTGCTATTGTCTTTTCTCAACATCCTCATTCCAGAATCTCCGTTCCGTACATGTCCTTCCCTCTCGGACTTCGGCCTTGCTGTCCCTCTGTTGGGCTCATGTTTAAACTGTAGTTCCCTGGTTGTATCTGGTCTTCATTTAACAAATCGTAAAATGTGAAAACATTTGTAATTTCGTGACAAAACCAGACCGTGACAAACTATGACAGTGTCTCCGACCCAGCCGGAGCAGTAAACACAGTAAATAACCGCCATTGTCTGCGCCTCAGCTGCAGTCAGAGTTACTTGCTTTTGACACAGTGAGTTCATATCAGTTCCCTCATATGAATTCAAGCAGCTGTAAAGATGTCCTCAGATTTACTTCCCTTTGTGGAGGGGGGGCTGGGGGGGGGGGGGTTTTAACATATGCACATTAAACCTTATGGCTCTCAACAGAGCTCCCTGCCTTTAGATGATATTACTACATCTCCAGACGATAATCGGAAAACATCCCGCCACACACTAACGGCTAAACAAATTATACGGACGATGAAAACAAGACACTGACGATCTTTTCCAATCACATGTGTGTGTGTGTGTGTGTGTCTAGAGTTGTACGTGTCGTGGTTCTTCAGATCATGTTCTCCAACGATGTTTCTGATATTAGTTGATGGAATCAAAACAAAGAAAGACTCCGTGTTTGTGCAGAGTTTCTACGTTGCTAAGCAGCAGGCGTAACCGTCGAAAAGTTCATACACATCGTAGGTGCTGCACAGAAAAAAAAAAACAATAATTGGAGGCTGATGACTAACAAGTCTGACAGGAACACACACACACACACACACACACCTGTATGATTTGAGCTTCATTCACCTGCATATATAGACCTCTCGGAGCTTCACCCAGCCATGAACCAAACCATTCCATTTTCCTCTCAGGCCATTTTGAAAAATAACATGAAGTCAATAAACAGAGTGAAGCTGGTTTCACACCTGATCTGAGCAGGAGCTGAAAATACATATATTTTTTAATCTTGGCTGTTGAAAATTGATTCTAAAAACCATTTAAACGTATGCTGATTTAAAATGCTGTTCAGCATCAGATTATCACACGTCAGTTTGGTCTGAGTCAGTTAAAAAACAATACTTTTCTACATTATTAGACAAACTAATGATTCCTGAAGGTTGATTTTACCTTCAACAAATACATTATAATGTGAATTATACTTACAGACTTTTTTACCAGGTTGAAATTAAAATGGAGTTTAAAATTCTTTGTATGTTTTAGAGAATTAACCACAAAAATGTATTATTTTACAGACAAATGTAGGTATGATTGATCCTTAAAGTATGAATTTTAAAATTCTAAGTATGTTTATAGTTATCAACTACTTCATTATCAGCACTGAGATTTGCTGTTTTCATGCATAACATCAACAAACATCCTTCCCTATTTTTTTTTATTATGTGATTAAGGTCACACTGAAGCTGTAGTGATGATATTAAAAAAAAGTTTTCTGTCTTATCTTGATGACGACCCAGAAGTCAATGGTGTTTTCAGCTGTAGTAGAAGCAGCATGTTGCAGCTATGCACAGGTTTCCTATTTACACCAAGACAGGAAAAAACTCATACTGTTCTCAAACATGTACCAGATCTCACCTCTGTCCCATCATCACGTATTTGTTGATGTCATGGATGATGGAACACCAGTGAAAGAACCTGTTTTAAATTTCCATGTACTGGATGTTTTCACTCACCACAAACTGTTGTTCCTGGTGCGTATTGGTTATTGACCAAAATACAGTTCTGCCTCTGGAGAATCCTGCGTTTCGAGGCCTGGGGGTCTCCACAGACATCAGCATCTTCAAACACCTGCCTGCTGCCCGTCAACACCTTTCTGCTGTCATTTTCATTTTGCCACAGAACTTCAACAAGTCCCTGTCTGTATAAGCCTTACTCACAGTCGTAGCGTTTTACAGCTTAATTATTTCCGTCTGCATGAACTCAGGTGTTTTCACATATTTTCTACGATGTTGCACCAGTTTGCATTTGAATTCTGCAGAAAGACAATAATCTGATTGCATCATGTTTGAGGAAAAAGACTTGATCACTAAGATATTTTTCTCCTCTCCTCTGCTCTATTCCTTTCTTCCCTCTCCTTCCCTTTTCTCTTTCCTTTTCCTCACCCTTTCCCCTCATCCCCTCTTCCCTTTTTATCAGATTTCCATCCAGAAAATCTGTCCATTTCCAAACCCCAGACTCTCCGACCCCCACAGGCCATATTCCAGGACCAGATAAATCAGTGGCTCCACAGCACTGCAGAGCACAGATAATAAAACTCCCATTTCTTGTTGCAGACCACTGCTCCCCCCTCACCCACGCCTCCCCAAACACACACACAAACAGACCTGGGCAACACACAACGGCCACATCACAGCAGACAGATCTGCCACATCAGCTGCTGAAGGTCAGCTGGCCACTGCAATAAGGAAGACGTCAGACGGACGAACGCTGCATATGTCAGGGCGGCAGCGGTGAAATAAAGGTTAGAGCAGGAGTGTGTGTGTGTGTGTGAGGGACGGGGGGTTTGTCACACTGGTGATTTAAAAAAAACAGTTCAGTCTCTTTGTATAAGAGGAACCTGGTTTACAGAGGTGACAGACGTCTGTGGTGATGTTGGGTTTGTCACCAGAAAAAATATAAACACGGACACACACACTCTCTTTCTCTCTCTCTATTTAACTTTCTCTCCCTCATACATACACACACCCTCACACAGTCCTTGTCCACATCCTCCTTCTGACAACTCACTTCTCCTTTTCAGTACAGACAGCAGCAGCAGAGCAGATGGACAGCCAGCTCTCTGGTCAGTACTGCCATCTGTTATTGTCTTTCCATCCGGCCAGTGGCCTCCACACAGGGCTGTTTCAGGAACTGTTGCGTGCACTGATGCTGCATTTACACATCATCCATCCATCATCCATCCATCCATCCATCCAGTAACTGTCACAAGCCACAGACACCTGCCCACCTCAGAGTGTGTGTTCTACCTCACCAGCAGGAGGCCAGTAAAGAGACGGGGGAACAGCACTCTCACCCTCATGGAAGGATATATATATATATATATATATATATATATGCATTCCTCTGAGCTCATTTAAATCCAACCCACACACGCAGCGCAAATATATGCACACGCAGCCACTCACCAGGGGCAGCAGAAAGATTGCAGTCAGCAGGTAGCCCCTCATTTGTCTCCAGTGAAGAGCTCGCATCAAGACGCCTCTGTGGTCTACGTCTCTCCGTCTCTCTCTCTCTCTCTCTCGCCCTTTATCACTCCCCGCGCGAATGTGCCGGTGTCTGTGTGTTCACGGCGATGCACCAAAATTGGTCCCTTCGGCGTTGCCACACTTGAGCATCAAGGGCACTGAAATACAAAACAAACGGGAGAGAAATCAGTGGAGAAATCTGCAGGAAAAGAAAACAAACAAACAAACACATTATGTTGTTTCTACCTCAGAGGAGTGAGAAGGGGAGAGAGGAAGAGAGAGGGAGAGAGAGAGGGAGAAAAGGTGAGTTACTGAGTCTCTGTGTCAACCAAGACATTTAACTAGTCAATTGGTTCTTATGCAAAAATTCATCAAAGTCAGGTAATGCGATTGATTCTTTGGCTTTTTATATATATATATATATATATTAAATATATATATATTACCTATAGTAGTGCACAGTACATCTCTGTATCACTGGTATTCTAATAGCCCATGGTAACACACACTGGTCGTTACGCTAATGAAGAATGCTAACAACTAGTAATCGATGGTGAAAATGTTGCAGCTACGTCTCCTCTATATTAATGATATATAATATCTCTATATGAATTTTGGAGAAATCTGCCTTAAAATAAATAAAGAGCAGGAAATGATCGTCAGGTCGTCACAGTGTCACAGCAGTAGAACTGTAGAACAGGGTTCTCCAGTCCAGTTCTACTCTCAGTTCACCATCAGAAGTATTTGTAATCATGGAAACGTGGAGTTAACCTTCTCAGTTAGTTTAGAGGTTAATGGATATGAATTGAATAAAAGGTTATTTAACCTTGACCTTGAGGTCATTCCTAGGCTAAAATAATTTTTACTTTTATTTCTATTTGTAAATAAGGTTTATTGGTGCTAAATTTCCAAAAAGAGGATATTTTCGGTATTGATTTGGGCTGAAATAATTCTAAAACTGTATGACATGATTGACTGATGGTTTAAACTCATTTTAATCCTTCCTCAAAATCCTACAGCAGTTACTAAGTCATTTACAATAAACTTCACTAATTAAAATCTGTTTTTTCTCTATAATCAAATTTGACAACATTTTCATTTAATTCCCTTTTTAAACTGTTTTTTGCACTAAGAATGAAAGGCTTGAAAAATAAAAGATGAGGACAAAACGACGTCTTCTAAATTGTTTTCAGGTGTTGTAGGACCTACTGTTCGTCTTTTTGATGGAACCACAGGACTTTTTCTGTCAAAGGGAAATGAACGATAACAAAGACACAGCTCTGACGATCTTAAGCTGTTCATTTTAACAGCTTTTCACAAACACTCTTTGTGTTCTGAATAATATCTGGAAAACATTACACACACACACGAAGAAAACAAATCCTGCAGCAGCTCTGACTCATCTGCTTCAAACAAAATCAATATTCAACAGAAATCTTTATAAAATGGCAGCCTAGGCTTGATTTATGAAACACATTCGCACAAACAACATACATAAAGACAAATATAATGAATGTGTGTCAATTATATGTGTATATTTCCTTCGTAGACATTGGAAGAAGAGGCCCTACATGCCATTCAACTCATCTGTTCAGCTCCCAGAACACACAACCATTCACTGCCAACAGAACTGTAGCACCAGAAGCATCAGTTCACGTACATGCATGTGCACACACACACACACACACACACACTCCCTCTGCTAATTCATGCACACACAAATTGACAAATTCTGCTCCGTGTCCCTTCCCTCCAGGACTAAATCCAATTACATCTCCAGGACGATCAACCAACAGGACAGACTGTGCTCAGAGGGAAAAATCCAGAGATTTAGGAAGAGAAAACACCAGTGAAGCAACACTGACACCAAACTACTGTAAGCACAGAGACGAGGCAGGAACAGGCAGGTCCCAATGTCTGTTGTCCGTTTGCGTAATTGAGGGGATGCGTTGAAGGAGGAGACGTTTGTCTGCTCAGCACCGGGCCGCTGTGAGCGGTGAAGCAATTCGAAACGTTCTTAATTCCTGCAGAAAACGCTGACCAAAGACGTTCGGCCTCCGACAGAAGGGCTGAGAGGGAAAAACATATCCAACCAAAATGTGCATATATGTGCATATATGTCTACAGCAGCTCAGTACTGTATAAACCCTGGCCAAGGAGATCCTGGAGACCAAACCTGGTCCTGGTCCTGGTCTGGATGATGAATACGAATTATTGAAACTTCTCGTTCAGATGTGATGTGTTTATAATTTAGTAGTTGTACTAATGACACGGGTCTGGTGATGAACCATGTTTGGACCTAGGATGTCTATTGAGACCCCTGGAGGTCCATGAAGGTACTGCAGGGGAGCTATGAAATACAGTATTTTATTGATTACACCACAGTGATGTTTTCAACGTGATTAAAGCTGTGTAAAAAAATACATTATACAAACATATAATATATATTAATATTCTTCTTTATTTTCTATTTATTTATTATATTTGTTTTAATTTTGGGGTCCTGGTCTAATCAACTGAAAATCATTTAGACAGGGACATATCAGTAAACTTGGGTATGACAAAACTAATTAGTTCATGGTCTTGTAAGAACCAAGATCAGTTCTGGTGGGGACCAATCCTGGTCCTGTTGAGGCAGAACTTGACTCATGAGTCTTTGGTCACATTATAGGAGATAAGGTCATGTTAAGGTGGAACACAAAACATAATTAACTACAATATAATAAGAATAAACAAGTGTGAACTTGTGTTCCTGGCATTTCTATAGTCACAGAGAGAGAGGGTTGGAGAGAAGGGGGAAAACATTACACCACCTCCAATGATTCATCGGCATTGTTTCAATCGCTGCATTTATCATTTATTCCCACTTTAATTCCACCACAGTTTGATTGAACGGGTTTCTAACAACAACAACCCAAATGTCATGTCTTAGTTGTTCCATGTCTGTCTTTGCATAAAAAAGAAACCGTTCCTATTCCAGGACTAACACTTCCATCTCTGTGTTATCCCTCCTTTGTAAATACATAACGCTGGTGACAATACAGAAAATTTAATATACACAGTTTTTCTTGTTAGACATTAAAAGGGAATGAATCAATCAAAATTCCATCCCATCTTCCCGTTTATCCCTGCCTTAAGGGCGCTTGATTCCTCATCCCATACGGATGACCTTCGCTTTGCGCATGGAAAACAAAGCAAGCGGACGCTCGCCTGTGGATTTGAACCCCTCACCCAGACACTCGTCACCCATTCCAACACAAATAAAAAGATAAACAAATGCAAGCTTCAAGCCCCATCAGGCACCGGAGGGTTCTGCCTCCCACCACAAACCTCAACACCGGGGTAACAGCGCGCAGCAGGCGTGAAGACAGCAGTGCAAAGGAACTTACCGATGTGTGGCGGTTGGAGGCGAATGAAGACGAAGTCGTCGATGTTCACAGATCCCGAACAGGAGAATTGTTCTGGAGACTTTCTGATTTTACACCTCGAATCTTCTGTTCTGCAGCGACAGGTACGGTTTACTGCTGCTGCTGCTGCTGTTGCTGCTGCTGCTGCAGGGCGACTCACTCACTCACTGCGTTTGCTGCTGCAGCACGAGGAGGTGCAGGAGCAGGGGGAGGAGGAGGAGGAGGAGACGTGTCAGTTCCTCCAGGATTTGCACCTTTTCAGACACAGGGAGCAACACATAGTGACAGAAGTTCAGTGTCGACACAGTCAAACGTGCAGGTCTAGGAATTTAAAACCATAATAATGGAAAGAAAACAATGCATGTGTGGGAACAGTGTGTGTTTAAGGAGGGAACAGTTCCTCAGACTCACCAGGAGGCGCAGGGTTCGACGCCCCGCAGCGCGTACCCGAGCTGCGTGTGATTCATAATCAGAGAAGAAGAACATTTGTTCACAGAGAAATCCATCAGTTCTGTTGATCTGCAGCTTCAACAACCACCGAGGTTCATCACCGGCTGGGTCTGCACCGCCGCCTCCACGGTGAAGGACAGGAGATCGATGGAAACTCTGGTTTAATCAGTTATCCACTAAAAATAAAACACAATCATAATATTAACGTTTAAAGTGTTTCAAGTGTCTGTCAGTACCACGACTTGGTCGAACAAAGCCTGACAAATCCTTTGGCAGCCAACCATTCACACTCACATTCACACATGATGTCAATTTAGACTCAACCTCAACCAGGTCCAAGAAAATGAGAAAAAGTTGAAACTGTTTTCGTCCATTTAAATAAATCATTTTGAAACAGTAGTAAAGGATGTAGACACACGGAAGTCTAGTTGCCTAATATTGATTTTTAAGTATTTTTCAGAAAAGGTCAAAGGTTAAAACTTAAGAAGATAGTGTAACAGGACCCTCTCTTTTTAAAAAAAAAAAAAGCCACAAAAATGTGTGAAAAAACTAAAAAAAACTAAAATATTCACATATTCATCCTACCACATTCACTGTCACTGCTGGCAACTCAGTTCACCTGCAGCACAGAGGTCCACTGTCAAAGCATGGCCTGGGGGCTTCACTGAGCTGAAGGACACAAAATGGACAAAAATGGACACAAAAAAGTGTTAAAAAAAAAAAAATTCTGGAGTAAATCCTAGTTAAGAACATCTGACCAAAGAGTGGTTTGAGGTAAAACAAATGACTACGACTAGTCATGATGTCATAGTTGTTAGGACTCACCATGACGGACATGATGATTGGTTCTGACCTGGTCTTGACCTTTGCTCCACTACAGGATGAATCTGTCACTCACTATTGTTAAACAGCATCACTATTAAACCCTCTGAGTCTTGACCACCGAATTCTTTTTTCTCTTTTCAACCTACTCTAAAACTGCCACTTCAAAAATGTCACACGGCTGAATGAAACTCTAAGGAGTAAAATGATAACATTTTCCCTGGACAAAGACAGGATGACAAAAATGACCCAGAGGATGAAACAGTGATGTAAAACACACACAACAACAATCCCTGGAGTTTTGCTCTTGATTATCACAGATATTTTTCTACGCTTCGTTCCCGGAAACCATTGGTCATCTATTTATAAATGTATGACTAATACTAATTCATTGGTATTCCATTATTTTAACTTAAATCACATTTGCTCAGTACAGACTTTTATTTATTTTTGCATGAGGTGGAGGTTTATACGCAAGGGCATTAATTTCTAAATCCATTTGTGCCTCCTCGCTCCACATTTTCCATCGGTGGCCGTCGTGTGCCGAGTGTTTTGAGTGCAGTGTGACACCGAGGTGATTGATCACCCAGCTGGGGCCTTTTAATGGCACAGCCATAAATCAGTGAGCCGTAGAAAGTATTAAACCTGGCCATTTTCTGGATAATCCTTAAGAAAAAAAAAAAAAAACAAGGACCAGGAAAGGACACAGGATACTGCTCTTTTTTAAAAAAAATCAAAATGTTGTAAAAGTGGAGTAGAAATGAGGATGACTGAGGCTATTTCCCAGAACATCTTCCTCTTATCACTCAAGGACAAAGGAGTAAGAACACCACGGCGTCTGACTGCAGACACCGTTCTGTGGCCATTATGACCGTGTACAGTATGCTACGGTAACGACTCCCTATTTGTGGTCGAAGGAAAAAAAATAATTGACCTGGTTCTGGTCGTGTGGACTCCAGGACAAGAGAGCTGGACACTGTAATGGAAGTGTCTGTCAAGGTCATAGGTCAGGTAACAACCTTCCAGTTATTTAATCACTTCTTTATCTTAACTCCAGGACAAACCTGTGCTCAAAGATTCTACCCATCAACACAACACTACAGTAGCTGCCCAACAACACAGGGAAAGTGCCGACCCTCATTTATATCTGGTTCAATTTACGCTATGCTAATGTATGTTGGTGATATTACTAGTTTTGAACATTTTTTGTGTGTTGGACATTACTGCGCATGTTTTTTTTTTGTCATTGTAAAATATATTTTACACATTGTATTATATATAATATATCATATACAGTTTTTTATTTTGATCCCTTCAATCAAACAGTTCAAGAAACATTCAATTAAATGTTATTAGATGTTACAACACATGCTAAATAATAATGACAAAATAGAGATTTTTTAAAATAAATAAATAAAACAAAAATAGTTTCTTATCAACAGCCTTTTTTTGGACTCACCATCTGTCGCTTTGAGAAAACATTAGCTCCCTCTGTGTTGGAGGATCAGCAGACCTCCTTCTTTCGTCGTCCTCCTCCTCCTCGTTCTTTTTTTTTATCCATAAACCAATCTGGATTTCACTTTCTGTTGAAATGTTTCTACACCAAGCGCAGCAGCGAGGCCATCTGAAGCAGCGAGTCGTCCTGGCAGAAGGATCTTTGTTTACGCTGCTCATGGAGATGTTTCTAAATCAACGGTGAAGATTTGTAATAAATCATACTGATGAACAGAGGATTTTAATTATTCAAACGGTGCCCCTTTGTTTGTGTCTTCCGGCAGAACTAAACTTAATCAGAAAGACTAAATCTGCCACTCCTAAATAAAGGCAGTGATAAACACGCCGGCTTTTTATGTGTCAAAATTAAAGCATCAAAGTTGATTTTTCTTGTCAGGATAAATGTCTCAGAACTTATTCTGAAACATAAAGGACTCCACTGCCTGTACACTGCAGCTATAAAAGACAAATAAGGATTTTACATCATACTCAGTGAGGGTATGCTAAGCTAATGTGTAAAAGCAGTATTACTAGCTTTATGTCATTAAAAAAGTGAAAAGAAAAAATATCATATCGACGTACATGCACAGATTGTAACTCAGACTGCAATGCTAATGTATGTTAACTGTATTACCGTATTTTCCGGACTATAAGTCACTGCGGGGCATAAGTCGACTTACAGGAGGAGCAGACACTGGTACACAAGCCTAGAGCGCCCTCTAGTAGCTGTCAGTGTTAAAATAACGAATATGTAAAATTATATATTTTAATATAGAAGTCGCAGCTGAGTATAAGTCGCAAACCCAGCCAAAGGATGAAAAAAAGTGCAACATATAGTCCAGAAACTACGGTACTGGCTTCAAGAAGTGTTTTAACAAGAATAAATAAAGTATTTTTAAAAATAACTTTTCAGTGTAGTTTGTTGTTTTGTTTGTGATGCACAGGTCAAAATCGAATCCTTGTAATAAATCAAATATCCATTTTCACTGAGTTACACTTAAATTTACAACAAACAGGACAGGAGTCTGAAGTTTCCCTGTTTTCTTTTTCCTGATACTGTCATTAGAATTGATTTTCTGTCCCAGCTCCCTCTCCCTCTGACTCTTACCATGTGTTGTTGATTGATTACTCCCCCTCTAGTTATACACTCAGTGGGAGACAGACATGTGGGAGGAGAGTGGAGAGGACTTGGAGGGTGAGGACGAGGTCTTGCCGGGTTCCCCACAGAGTCCTCCTTGAACAGGAACGGGTATATGGGCTCAGCACTCAACCACTTGCTTTCCTCCCACACTGAGTCACAGACGAGTCTCCATGGATACCCAACTGTCTGATTGGTGCGTGATGGCGGAGGAGAAACAGACAGAGAGGGGAGAGACGTCCTGTGGAGAGTCTCATCGAGTGCCGGCGCAATGAAGCAAATACAGCTTCGAGAGACTGAATTAAACCACCGACCACCTCACGGAGTTCTCCTCGCCAAAATCTGTAAGACGTACTGTATAAGGAACAGTGCAGAGGAACTACTGTCTGTTCCTGAACATCACATATTAGTGTCACATCACTTAACACCAGTGATAGAACCTGCAGCAAGGAAGACCTAATAGTAATAATAATAATAATAATAATAATAATAATAATAATAATAATAATAATAATAATAATAATAATAATAATAATAATAATAATAATAATAATAATAAAAATAATAATAAAACAGCCCTAAAGATGTAAAGATGCAGCTGTTTATTACAGTTTTTGTTGCAGTAACTGTGTGTACTACTACTATGCAGTTTTGCAGTGACACAAGGTGCCTTAAAGCAGGAAAAGTGTTGACTCAGGGTCGAGAGGAAGCGTCCTCCTGAGGGCAGTGTGCATTTATCTTCCTTTAACAACATGTAATCTCTGAGATACAGGACTTTTTGGCTGTTGATTTACTATAAATAAAAACTGAGGAAAAATAAATCTAGCCTCTATGAAAAGACGAGATGTTTAGACCAGACCAGGAAATTAAATCAACTGATTCAGTGTTAGAGTCACACTGACATGTTTCTACCATTTAACCAACACATGATATTTGAATATTTTACATATTTTCTCTAACATAATTACAAAAGAAAAAGAAATAGATGATAGTTGCTCTAACCTTTAATAAGTGGACTCAATTGGACAACCTCTTTACAATATTAGATGTATCAAAGTCATGGCCTGTGGACCCAATTCCACATGTGTATGGTTTGTCTTAAGGTCTGTACTAATGTGTCCTGAATAAAGACAATGCACTGGTCAAACAGTGTGTGCGTGGCCAGAGCATCATTAGTACCAGACTGTCTTAGGAATGTTGATCCAGTTCTAAGCCTGGGTTTAAAGTCTCGGCCCTGGAGTGACTGAGCTGGACACCCCAGCTATTATAAAAATATAATAGAGTCGATTATATTATTATTATAATGAACCGTCACGTGTGTATAGTATAATTATTACTTGTTTAGTGAGAACTCTCTAAGTAACTACTGTCAATAAATTCAGGGGGAAAATCCTCCTCTCTGTGAAGTTGTTCCTCAGTTCTTTTTCTCTCTGCCACACTTGGACCTGCGTTTCTGTGCCGACAGCTCTGTTCAAAAACCTTTTACTGCCTTTTATGTGTGACTGCCAGCGTGGACTGATTTCTCAGAGCTCGCTGATATAATTGTAGGCTGTCAGAGAAGGAAAAGAAAAGCGGCTCAGTGAAATGTTCAGCGAAGGATGATTCGTCATCACAACTTCCTTTGGCCAGTGTGGGAGTGGAGGATGACAAATAAGGAGCAGCAGTGTTTGTGACCGTATGCTTCCATAGAGACCGCTCTGCACGGTGATGGGAGAAAGAACAAAATGTTTGTTTGTTTGTTTGTAGGACGGGTTTAAAACAGCCCTCCAGTTATCATTAGCCAGCTGTGTGTTTTGTGACGTTTATGTACAAATAAGCTGTTTTTTTTGAGGTACTTGTCGACATGTCATCACAATAGCTTTACCGCATTTTACGTTTGTGATTATTGTAGG